AGAAGTCCTGTTGTTTTCTTATCATAAAAATAAGATTTTTCTGTTCCATTAGGTGTCGTTTCAGGCTTGGTTTGTTTTCTGATTGGTTTAACCTCCGTTTTCTGGGTCTAAACAATATAAATATATATTTTTATTTACTTTACATACAATATAAAGTAAATAAATATTGTTGATTTAGTTTTTTATTAATTCATCTTCTTTACTGGTAACTCTTCAAAGTTTCTACATCTTATTTTTTTAAGCCTTTTTTTAACAAGAGGCATATCTGAATATATATCACTTTTGACACAAAGGAATATTCATTTTTAATGAAATATTAGTTGTGTTCTGGTGCCATTTCAAACAACCCAGAAACAGACATGCCTTTACTGCGATGCCGCCTCTCGCTGTCTGGGTATGGCACGTGTAAGGAGATCACTGCAGCATCGTTATGAAACCACTCTGTTAGGCTCCCTTTTAAGGAGGACTGAGAAAAGTCAGAGACCTAACACAACTGTAAGATCCATTTTTAGCAACTTTGGACAGAAAATAAAAAAAAGAATTAACAGACAGTTGCTGTTACTGTGCAGATTAGCAGCTTAAACAGCCACTTTGTCTCAAGTTTAAGCAGAAAAGATGGGTCTCTGCCTCAAAGCTCCGCTCACCGCACTAAGAAAGTGGGTATGTTGATTAGTTGTTTTTCATGAGAAAGGACGGGCAGCTGCTTAGGAAGTAGATTTCAGGAGCATTACTCAGACGTGCATAAATAAAGATCATGGAAAAGTGATTTTGCATCATAAAGATCTTTTTTTTTTTTTAAGTACTATTATTCTTGGAATTAGATTTTTTTTTGTAGACTTTGATATCATAGCATAAAATTTTTTTTGTATTATTTTTTAGTATACAGGTCAAATTTATGTGCCCTGGGAAGAACAGACCCTGCATGAACCGCAGGGCCAGGAAGATCCTAGATGCTATGTTGACAGGTGATAGGGACCCTAGCAGAGACCCTGGAAGGGTCTCCCAATGCAAACAGGCTCTGGGTCATGGGTGAGACAAAGGCTGGTTCAAAACGAATCAATGATGAAGAAGAAATCAAGGCACGTGATGTTGCACGGTACAGAGGAGCTTGGACCCCACCCTTGAGCCAGGCTTGGCATTGGGGTTTGTCTGAGAGCGCATGGCGACTGGGTCCTTCATCAAGGTAACTGGCAGGGCACAACCCGAAGGAGCAACGCAAGGCCATCCCCAGTGGGCCCACCACCTGCAGGGGGAACAATGGATTTATACTGGCTAGAAATAGTTGGGCTCTCCTCCACACATCGGCTCTAGAACCGAACTCCTTGAGGAAGGCTGGACTCACTTCTACTCTGGAGTGACCCGTGGGGAGAAACAGAAGGCGTATGCCTTCGCCTTTGAATAGGGAGGGGGTCTCTGACTGTTGTTTGGGCCTATGGGTGGAACGGCATTACGGTGTACCAGGCCTTCTTAGTGTCCGTGGGGGGATGTTGGACAGCGTCCCCCACGGGGATTCCATTATTCAGCTGGGGTGCTTCAACGCCCATGAGGGAAACAACGGTGACACCTTGAAGCATCACGTTCCAGTTCTTAACCCAAACAGTGTTTCAGTACTTGTCCATAATAAACTGAACTTATATATCACTAAATTTTTTTGCACCATGTTTTTTTCTTGTACACTGTTTACATTTGATCACTGCTGCACTTTAAGGAATGGAAATGTCATGAAAGATGTACAAAATGAATTTTTGTTTTGTATACACTGTGTATATGAAATGACAATGAACATTTTTCTAAGTCTAAACACCATGTTCAACCTTAAGGATGTCCAATGGTGCACTTGGCACAAGGACCCCTTCGTTGTGACCGTCAGCCGCATGGTTTGGACATTTGGGTAAAGAGAGGGGGCAGAGCTGTCACCTGGTGGTGAACTAGACATGCTACTGAACTAGAGGAGGAAGAAGGACAGACTCGGTAGGCCTAAGCGAGTACCGGGGGGTCTCCTCGTCTGGTTGAGCCCTCGGTCAGAGACCTGTTCCAACTCCTACCTCTGGCAGAGCCTCTCCCAGATTTCAGGGGAGACTGGAGATAAGGTAGTCTGAGTGGGCCATTTTTTCTGCCTCCATTGTCGACGCGGCCACCCATAGCTGGGGCTGTCAAGGTCTGCAGTGCCTGTAATGGCAATCCCCAAACCCTGTGGTGGATAAGAGCAGTAAAGGATGCTGCCAGGCTGAAGAAGGACTTCTATCAAGCCTGGTTGGATTGTAGTACTTCTGAGGCAGCTAGCAGATATCATGAGGCCATTACCCGGGCCGTTGCTGAGGCAAAAACTTGGGCCTGGGAGGTGTTTGAAGAGGCCATGGAGAGAGAATATTGGCTGGGCTTGAAGCGATACTAGCATATCTTCTGGCACCACGGAAGGGGGATGCAGTGCTTTGCTAACACTGTTTACAGATGGAGAGCGGAGCTTCTGACCTTGAAAGAGGACATTGTTGGATGGTGGTAGGAATACTTTGAGGATCTCCTAAATCCAGCTGACAAACATCTTGTGATGGAAGAAGAGACAGGGTGCTCAGGGTTGACACAAAAGGCTCAATAAAGAACGAGTTGAAATGCAACTCACCCCAATGGAAAATCATACCCCCGACCCCAGACACATTTTACACATGCAACTGAGCCGCTTAGTGCCAAGCAACCCTAAGAGCCTGGGCCAAATGTGGTGATGAGTTAACTGAGGGTCTGATCAGGAGAATAGGTGTCAGAATGACAAGTACTTATGTGGAATCTTTTAAGTCAGGGTCTCTGCTTTAAATTACATTAAGTAATCCAAACACATCCACACGCTAATGGTGGTAAGCCACATTTTTACCCCAGCTGCCCTGGGACACACTAACAGAAACATTCTGCCATACATAGGCACAACTGGGCCCTCTGACCACTTGTAGAATAAGGACTACGGTTAGCTTAGCATAGCTTAGCCTCACTGTAGCATGGAGAGTGAGCAGAGGGATGCTGGGGGAGTTTTCTTATTACCAGAGTGGGAAGGAGGCTTTGTGGAGCCCAGTGGCACTGCAACCTTACCAGCTTGAGCCATTTGCTTCAAGATGTTGACATAGCAATGCCTGGAGCAGTTTATGCAGACACGGCAGAGGACACGATGACTCACTATGGAGGCGTGTCTGAGTGAGTTGTCTTTACGCCTGGACGCGGGGCAATGATAATTAAAACTTGTATCAGCACGTACCATTTCAACAGAACATTCAACAGCAATAGAAGACAGTTTTAAGACAAATATTGATGAAATAATGCCATCAGAGGTAAGAAAGCTATAAATACTGAAGCAAAAAAAAAAAGGTCAACCTATAAGTCGCTTTTCATTCGCAAATCTCTTTAAAACTGTCCCTTTTGTCATTACTAGAATATTTTTTTATTTTCTTAATACAGCGATGGGGTTAATTGTGGACTTTAGCCTGGTCTGTTGTGATTCATCGTCAAAGAGTCAACCCTGCTCTCTCACTAGTGCATCCACTGCAACAGAGAAGTAGCCAAGTGGACAACAGCATGTAGCGCATCGCATGTACGTGGTCATCCCTGGTAAATCTGACAATAGAGGCAGTAGTTAATAGAAAAAAGCTGATTTTACATGCCTTGCGATTATCAGAGCATACCAGGAAAGAAAAAAAATAATAATTTAAATTCGACTTTTAAACTTAAATAATGCTCATTTACAATAGCACCCCATAGTTTACACTTTTTATCTGCAAAAAGGCAGATTTTTCAGGTGAGTTACACTTTAAGGACATAAAAAGAAGGCAATAAAACCACAATAGTGAAAGAAAAGACAGGATCCAAGGAAGGAAAGAAAGAAAGGAGACAAGGATAGAATGAAGGAGGACCAAAGGGAAAGGGTAAAAATACAAAAATTATTACTGTCACTTATTGTTATTTTTTTCCAAATATTTGGAGACTTGAAAAATACCAAACTCAGATTCCAAATTTTTAATGCTGTATAGGATCCCTGTTTCATATTTGTCTAATCAGTCATGTTGCTCCTTGCATTCGATTTAAAGAGGCTTTCCCCCAATTGTCTGGTTTGAGGCAGGCTCATTTTTTCCGTTAAGAATCAGCCTCTTATTCATCCAATCTCATCCATCTTTTTTCTCCTCCAAAGGGACTTTTTACCTGAGTCAGGATAACGCTACTAATGCATGGTGGAAACACCCGACCTAAAGCTGCCTGTCTGCTTCTGACTTTTCTTCCCGCACTTTGCCCTGGAAGCTCGCCTACTGCCCCAAATTGGGGCAATAAAATTGCAGCCAAAAAAGGTTGTAACACATATCAAAAGCCTCAAAAAACAAAAACATGCCGTCTGTAGCAAGGGAGCTTTCACCGCTTGGATGTCGAATATATCAAAGGTCAGAAAGACAAGTAAGGACATGTTAAAGCATGTTTGGGTTGATTATCAGAAAGGATTAAAACGAGATTTTATTTCGTATAAAGACCTATGAATCATGTCATATCTAAAAAAAAGTTTGTTAGTCGGTTTTTGGTTTGGGAAAATTGGCATAAAGCAAAACTTTTGCAATTAACTGGAAGTAAAGGTGAAAGTTGATCGTGTTCCAGAACAGGGTGCAAATTTACAGTCTGACAGATGATTTATTATTACATTTTACTATTCACCTGCACAAGAATAATAATTTGAACAAAAATTACACAAAACCAAATCCTTTTTGTTCCTCTTAGCTTGTCAAAGCTTGTAGGTGCATGATGTAGAAAACCAAGTCATGATCGAATGGAAAACAGTGACTGAGTTGTTCTTACAGCTGATACAAAAATGGTTGCTTTTATACAGCCCACTGGCTCCCTCTACAGATCAACCACAGCTCTACATCCATAACCCAAAAGTAAGTTTAAGAGTTGTTTATTGACAGAATAACTTTTGATGAAATACTGTTGTTTCTTTTATTGTTGTAAATGCATGTTTGTTAGGATTTGTTTGTTACCTGGTATATCCTGAAGGGGATGTATCTAAAGCCTCCATCCTCAGTGGGATATTCCATCAGCTTCCTGTTCATTGCCCAGAACTGGTCAAACTTATCTGGAGTAACATAAAAAAAAAAATAAAAAAAATACTGATAAGAATCTGTAAAATCACAACAGACTCTCATAAAAAGCCATTAATGGCTGGTGGAAAAAACCCAACCTAAAGATGTTAGTCTGCTTAAACTCAACCATGAATCCATTATTTACATTTTTAAGTACAATTTAAACTTATTAAATCTAAACTTCAACATAATTAATGTTAATGCTTTTATGTATCAAGAGAAGCATTGTTGGTAGTAAGTTATAACATGGTATTGCTGTTTAAAGTTCTATATCAAATGTAATTGTATCCATTAACCGTGGATTAATAAGGCTAAACTGGCTAAAACATTTAACTGAGTCCTCTAAAAATGCATATAAGGTAGGTTATATTGATCATTCAAAGTCTTTTTTTACTTTTTCAAATATTATTTAAGCTAAACACTTAAGTGTGAAATTATCTGAAGATAAATTAGTTAAAAAATGCACCAGAGATAAATATTTTGTGATATAATAAACAATTTTACAAAAGCAGCATACAAATAATTACCGGTAAATGACTTAAAATAGGAAACTTATCTTTATAATTCTATATTGAAGAATACCTTACTATTACTTATATTTTTAAGAAAATATTCTTATATTTACTTAAAAAAAAAAACAGAACCCTTCTTTTTTGTTTGACTTTTCAAACAGGCTTGTAAAATCACATCAAATCTCTGTCTATTGGCTGCTATGTTCATACAGGGGTTCATACAGGGGTTCCTGATGTCAAAAATTTTCTTAATGTCTGTTTTTGTAAATTAGGCTTTCCCAGATCCAAAGTTGGGGTATGACAAAAAAAAATATTGATTGGGGTTTGAATTGATTATCAAATGCAGTATGAAGTCTCCAAAAAGCCATATAAATAGAAACCTATAAAACTGTCCCTTTAATAGTTTTAAAGGGACAGTTTTATAGATTTCTATTGTGAATCTGTGATAATTTAGCTCGGGTTTGATCAGCATCATCATCTTTATTTGTAAAGCACTTTAAAACAGCTAAAGCTGAAAACAAAGTGATGAACATTGCTGAAAAATAATAAAACACTTTAATAATTTAACTTTATTGATCTCACGTTGGAGAAATTTACCTCTGCATTTAACCCATCACCTTGGGGAGCAGTGGGCTGCCATCGTGGGGCGCCAGGGGAGCAATGTTGGGTTAAGGGTCTGGCTCAAGGACCCTTAGTAGCAACCTGTGAGGCTCAAACTCAGAACCTCAGGATTCCAAGCTCTATGCCCTAACCACTAGGCCACAACCTATGTTGTATTTTATAAAAGAATAATATATAATAAGGCAATAATAAAAATAAAATAAGAGTAAAATAGTTTGGGCTGTGATGTAAATACCCAAATCAGATGCTAACATCAGTGTTGTTAGCTGGCCATAATGTGCAGAACTTTCTTAATTTCTTCTCTTTTACAGATCATTTTCTCTGCAGACCGCCCAAACTGACATTGCTCAAACTTTTTTTTTTTTTTTAAAGCTAAGGGATTCTTTAAAGTTTAAGCCAAAGAGTCCTTTTGAGTGCAACCAGACAGTCAATAACTGTCCTCTTAATGTTTATATCCACACTGCAAATACAACCTTAAATACACACAAAAAAGGAAACTTTCTGAAAAAAATTCAGTTAAATCCGGAATAGAAGACAACGAGGATCTTGCAAATCAACCTTTCTGTTGGTGGGATTACTTAAGACGAGAGGAAAAGTTTACACAAAAACGGAAAGAGAGACTTCACAAAGCATGAGGCGGTTTCAAACCTGCCGTCGATATAAACGTTCTGGTTTTGCTTCTCTTGGATGAAAGTTAAACACCTCTCTGTTTCAATTCTCCTAAGGACATGGGAGTTTTGGCCGAGATGCAGTTTCATCTCTCACTTTCTTGTGTGAGGCAATTCTTTCTTTCTGGATTATTTAAATCCTCTTGTATCTCCCTCCTTTTAGAGATGTTTATAAAAAGCCTTTAACACCTTTTGCATCAACATATCAGATATCAGTCAGTGGCTTCTAAGATTTATTTTCTGTAACCTCCTTGTTTTATTAAGATGTGTGGCTTATTTCTTGCTCACTCATTTAGTTTCAGGGAAAAGTGGAGAGGAGATAAGCAGCTGATGCTCTGTCGGTTTGAGGCCTTAGGGTTTTTCACAAACTTCTAAAGTTTTTTACTGCAACATGCTCCGAGCGGCTCAGGCGGTTGCGGCTTAAAAACACACAACCGAGAAACTTGAGGAATCATTTCACAAATTGTTTGCATAATAAAGAGCTGCTTTGCTGGTAATGCAACCCTTCTTTTCTCTTGCATTAAACCTTTGGAGTTATTCATAAGGAAAAGCAGTTTTTAATCAACCTTCCTGTCGGCTTGAAAATAATTTAACTTTAGCTGGTTTAAACTAACAAGAAATAAATTCCATCAAATTGTAATTAAAAAAAAAACTACTAGAGTAAGAATCATCATTATTACTTCGATACAATGATGAATATTGAATTAATTTGAGTTTTTTCATTAATGCTTAAAGTAACACAGTGCCCTATAGGAACAGGCTTTTCAGAATTTTTAAACAGAAGGTGAGCCATGTTCATTTAGTCTACAGATGTGATGCAGGAACTTTATAATTTCTTTGTTAAAATCCGTCACATTTGTTAATATTAACGTGTTTGTTCAAATGTGTTATGGGAAAAAAAAATTTAAAAAATCACACAAACTTTAACCATCCTCTTTTATTCTAAATGCTTTTGTTGTGAAAGTTTACCTTTTGTCAACTAGTGAGGGTTAAAATTAGGGATGGAACGGTTTATGAAAACCGTCCGAACCGTTCAGTTCGACTGTCTCGGTTCGATTTGTGCGCTGCTCCTTTTTCTCATAGGCGAAGAGTTTACACTCCAGAGCAGAAGGTGGCGGTACTGCGACCAAAGCCAACCACCAGTAGTAAACAAGAAGAAGAAGAAGCGAAGCAGCGTAGCCGGGTGTAGCAGAAAAAAAAACTGTTGTGGAGAATTGTGTGGGTATGGCGAGTGGGAAAGAACAGGAGTTGGAAGACGCGCCAACAGCACTTTATAGGTCTGCTGTATGGGACCACTTTGCATTTAGAGTGACCAACGATGACGGCGGAAAGAAAGTTGTGGATAAAAGTGCAACAGTGTGCAAGCATTGTGCAACACGTGTTGTACTATACAAGACATAATAGATTTTCCTAACAATCAACATATACCCAACCGAAAACCGTGATCACGAAAACCGTGAACCGAACCGTTAAATTCCCTTTAACTGCTGTCACAGTGGCCCGCTGTCGCCATGGGCTGTAGCTACCCGACAACGGCGACTAATAACAAAGAAAAGTGGAGGAGGAGTTACGTCACCAATGGGGCAAAAAGCAGTGATCATCTGTCAGAACGGTGAGTTAACTTAGTTCGCTATGAAGTCCAATATATAGCCCCCGCTGTATGTGGACTCAGTAAGCTTGTATGAGCTATGACAACAGTGCATTTTAAACAAGGCATGCACGAGGAGAAACGGGCTGGTGCATGCTCTTTGCACACACATTTTCCTTTTTATTTGAGAGGGCGGGTCTTTTAAAAAATCCTCCATAATACCTTTAAGTTATTCATCAATCAGCAGAGCATTGTGGATTACAAGATGCGCATTAACACCTCGCTGAACACTTCTAACTGCTCTTTTTAAAGGTATACTCTGCAACCGGTGTTGATTTTCCAGCGTGTCTAAAAATGCTAACTTAGCATTAGCTGCAGTCATAGTAAACATAGGGCGGCAGTTGGAGGCTGAGGACGTCAAGTTGCTCACTCTTCTTCCTCTCTGTATCTTGATTGGAAAACTTTGTTAAATATTACCTGTTTCAGCGTGATGGACAGAAAAATAACCATCTATGAACACCTTCAGATCTATTTTACTCGTCTGTAAAAACCCCCATGCAGTAAGAATAACCTAATCTTTCCCAGACATAACGAGTGTGTTCTCCAGATGATAACACACAGATAAAACCAAACAGTTTATGAAAGCAACAAACATGTAGGTGGATTAGTTGCAGAATTACAACATGTGTGGATCTGGGTGTTAAATCAGTAAATGTGGGACTGCAGAATTGAATGTCGTTTCCCTTGCAGCTGCTTTTGGTCTCAGTGTACACATGCATCTTACCATTCTGCAGGCCCATCCACAGCTGCTTGTGGTCTTTTTTCTGCATGTCATTGACGACTTGGCTCTTATGCTTGAGGGCGTCCGCCTCCTTGATGCTGGACATGAAGTGAGCCTCCACTACGGAGTTGGACGAGCAGTGCAGCAGGTCCCTGTCTGGGAAATTCTGCCAAACAGTCACACATTTCATTAAGGGCTGAATTACAATTATAGCAAAAAAAGACTAAACGCCTCCAAAATGGAGAATTCAGAGGCAGCAGTTAGTTTGTGCATGACCTAAAAATCAAACCATTTTTAGTAACTAATAACAATTTATATTGCACAAAACCCTTTTAAATAATCTTCATTATTCTGTATTAGGCATGGGTGTTGCGTTACATCTGATTTGACTGAGCTGAGAAGAAATGGCTTTAGCTTCGATGAAACTGTGGGTTTGATGCACTTCCTTTGTTTAGTATTTACACTAACAATGTGACTAACTCCTACCTTAAAGTGCACAGTGATGTTCCAGGGTAAGACTGTATTGGAGGCATGAAGATCAAACAGAACTCCTATAGGGTAGTGCCTGGAATGAGAAAAAAATGAAAACAAATCACAACAATAAAACCAGGAGAAACTCTTATTATTCGGCTAAAAACTGGAAAAGGGAACTCCAAAACCAGATTTTATTTAGTTATCTAAATGAAAGCAAACTATCTCCCCACTCTTGTACTTGTTTTACTTTTACCTCCAAATTCCTATTCACAAATAAACATATGTAGCTGTAAAAAAAAACAGAAAAAATCAGTCATTTGAATAACTTAATTGATTAAACAGATTGTTTCAGCAATATTTGTTCCTTCATGTTAGAAAATGTGGGAGCCCCCCTACTTCTAACTTGCCTAAAGGAATGAAGCGGGCTATAGCATTTACCACGCTTCTAGCTCGTAGGTTGATCTTATTTAACTGGAAAGATTCTTAACCCCCTTCACATGCCCGCTGGATTCGAGAGGTGCTTTACAACCTCAAAGTAGAGAAATTGAGGATTTCTCTTAGAGGCTCCATCAAGTTATTTCAGGCTACATGGGACCCTTTTCTTAGATATTTTGACTCTTTGAATCTTCTTGACCCTGAGGATACTTGAATGTCTAACATGATCTCTACTTATCTATCTACATTTACATCCATGTCTACCCTTTTTTTTTATTTTTTTATTCATTTATTTATTTATTGGCCTGTGGGTGGGGTGGGCGGTCAGGGTGGATTGGGGGTTGACAGAACTGTGACATTAAGATTGTATTGACACTTTGAATTTGTCCCAACAATGTCTGTCTTATGTTCAAAATGTTCAATAAACAAAGTAAAAAAAAAAAAGAATGTGGGAGAAACTGAATAATATTTTTTTAAATGCATATACCTAAAAAAAAAAAAAAAAAAAAAAAAAAAAAAACTAGGAATCACATAATTTGGCATTCAGCTGTTAGCTGTACAACAAGGCCTCCTTGTGGTCAAAGTATGCCACTGCATCCTATTTAACATTTATTTCAAAGATGTTTGGAACTTGTTCATTTCCGATACGATATGGATATTGCAGCTTTGAGAATTTGCAAATACAAATTCTGACCCAATGTGATATCAACATGAATCATATCGCCGTTTATTGCTTCTTTTACATTGTAAAATGTTAGAAAGGCTTCCCCAACTGATATGAATAAAACAAGAGTCAATTAACCAAAGCCATGAAAATAACCAACCCATGAAAATTATTAAATGAGTTACAGGAACTTTTAAAACAAGCAGAGTTTCTATCAGTGTGAAAATATGTGAGATTTTAGATGCCGGACGATAAAATCCGATATTAGTTTTTTTGGGTAATATCGAACCGATATCCAATATTAATATGGGATCAGGACATCAGTAGTAAATAAATAAACCAATCCCAGACAAATTTTTCGAAGTACGGAGTGTTTGGGAGAAAAGGATGATCAAAATTAGTCAGTGTAGTTAATAATATCATGCATTAGCAGTAATGTCTACCATCAGCTTTGTTTCAATTTTCAAGAAAAGACCATTTGGCCTGAAAAATCACCTGCTTATTTTATGGACCGGACAGACTGAGGTGATATAGTTTCCCTGCTTCAGTTTAACACCAACAACCCTGATCTGCATTACACTCACTGTCACATGACCATCGTTTACCCTTTTCCATTTCAAAACAGCCCACAGACTATCATCCCAAACCGGAGCGGTACTTACTGAAATACCCATAATCAAGTCAACACTACTTTGTAGAATAAATTAGAATAAAAGTAGAATATTTTCTGTAATGTTTCACTACAATCACTTTCATACCATTTGAGTGGCGTTCCTTCATACTCGAACCACATCTCCTCCACGTCCTCTGCCCTCATCACTTTCTGGAAGTGTTTCTTCACCTTGTCTGTGACAACAGGCAGGTAGCTCACCCTGGGTAGCAGCAGCTGATAAAAACAAATAAACAACCTTCAGAGGTGAAGCAGTATGTTGATTTAAAGGTAAAATACAATCACTGATCTACAATGGACGGTCTAGTTGGGTAAAATAAATGCCTGCGATAACGTCCTTCATTTTTTGTCTCATCCTCATTTCTTCGTTTTGCATTTAAAACTTCTACTAAGAACCTTCTATCCAAAAGTGCAAAATATTAATTCTTGCTATCTGTCCACTGGTTGTACAGGAGTGTATTAGGTTCCAATTTCACTTGAGATCTGACAGGTTATTTCAAACTTGTTCTGATGATGACAACAAATAAACAAAAAACATACCACAGGTCCCTTTACAGGAAATAGTTTTAAAGGTTAGAAATTTTAAGAAAATTAAGTTTATTCTGATGTATGCATGTATGCATGCATGAGAGTAATAAAAGTGCAGGCAATGAGTTGCAGCGTTTAATTACCTCCGTCTAGGGGGTTAACTTTTTTGGAGAGCTTGTGTATGTTTTTCTGTCTGTGTAAAAGGAGTAAGAAGTTATGGACAGATTTTAATGAAACTGATTTTTTTTATCAGAGGTCTCCCTAATTCCAAAGAACAATTCATTTAATGTTGCTGATGATCCAGATCATGATCTTGAAACAGGAATTTTCTAAAAGATTCTCTACTATTGTGAGATAGGGATATTTGGTAGAACAAGCAGTTCTCCACTAAACCAGAGGGTGGCAGCAGTGACTACTGACAGTCTAAGCAGGAGGTATTTTAGTAAAGACAAAAACCAAAAGAAAATTAATCATGGTTGGCTTGTTAGCAGGATCAATTGAAAACTTATGAACGGATTTTAAGGAAAAAATGTTTTACCAGAGATGCACCTCATGCCAATGAACAATACATTTACATTTGTTAACAATCCAGATCATCATGTGTGAGTTTTAGTTATAGGTGTAAGTCGCAATTTGGGGTAATTGTATTGGTGCTGAAATAGGAATTCCAAAAAAATTAAAAACAACCCACTAGACTTGGTTTCTGAGTTTGAAGACGTTTCGCTTCCCATCCAAGAAGTTTGAACTCAACGCTATTCCTGACATTTTTAATTGAAAAAGTTTCAATCAACGTCTTCAAACTCGGAAACCAAGTCCAGTGGATTGTTTTTAATGTTTTTTGGAATGACTATGACCTGGATGACTGAGAACCTTCACCAACTATTATGAATGAAAATGCTTCTACTGAACAAGTTATAGTTATATGATGATATTTACAGTCATTACTTTACAGATATTGATAGAATTGGTATCAGCATGGTGACCAAATAAATCCACCCTGTTATAATGCTGCTTATAATGTCCATGAGCAATGGATGCAAGGAAGTTGGTCTTTCAGTAATCACTAAGTTTGATTTATTAGGGTAAGGTAAAGTCATGAAGCTTGCTTGAAGTAACATAATGCAAAGAGATATTTTTTGCATTTGTTTAAGAAAAATAGAACAGTATAATAGGGTTTACTACAGCAATGTCATGTCATGTTATCTTTTTGTAATTAGGCAGACATTAAGCAGTGACTGGGCTCACCAGGTTTCATACATATTAAATTGATTTTCTGTTTTTATTCATTAGATTGATGGTCCACAAAGACATGAACAACACAATATGATAAACAGGAACAAACTAATCGGCTTACATAGTATGCTTCTGCCTCCCTTTCAGTCACCTCATCTGGATTCAGAGTGAAGCATGTGGGGATCCGGCCGAACCAAACATCTCTCAACACGTCCTTGTCATCTGCCATGATGCTGCTGTTGCTCTTCCCAGTAGGACATAAATGATAAATCCCCCAAAAGCAGAGAGATGGATCCCAAAATATTAATAGCTTCCTTCAGCTATAAACAGAAAATAAATCATTTTTAAGTCAAAATCACAACTGCCATTGAAGCATTGGATATATTCAACTCTCAGAGAAGTTATTACGAAGTTATAGAGGAGTAAACTCGTCTAACGGGATTCAAAACTAGCACCTATCCTGTAAAACTACCCCCGTGAACTACATTATAGACGTTAGCTTTAATGCTAGGTAAGCTAACTCAGCAGAGAGAAAATCAACAAAAATGGGCTAATGAACTAATGTGCTTCCTGTCAGGGCACTATGTGCATTTTTCTCGTAACGGATATTTATTGTGTACTAAAAAATACAGCGTTACATTATAAAACCTTACTTTTTGACGATGTTTGGGAGACAGTCTGAATGGAAAGACGGGCCTTACAATGTTGTCATCTGCTGCTGCTATAACCCGGAAATCATAATTTACAGCCAAACAGCGACGCCTAGCGGAGACTCCAATATTCCACTAAAAAACAATATATACATATATATTTATATATACATTTTTTATTTAGTTTAAGTTCACCTTAATTCGGAAATATTTTTGGTTTATTACTTAACCAGTAACTTATGTTTTGACAAAAATAATAAATAATTTCAAGAGGCGCTGTAGCATTACATCATCAACATGCGACGCCCCTTTTCATGTAGCTAGACCCAAATCTTTGGTTGCTGTTGTGATCTTTAGCTGCAAAAGATGGACCAAAAGATGGACACAGACAGCCTTGAAATGCGCCTTCAGGCGTTGGAGAGTCGATTATACGGCGAGAGGAGAAACAAAAGTGGAAAACCAGTTAAGGTCCGTCTGTATAGAGGCACAGAAACGTTAGTTTTAGAAATTGTTAGCTTAGCATAACAAACGATGATACGTTTTCTGAGTAGGAGTATACGCCCTTTTAGAAAATCATCATTTTTGATTATTCGGTATCAGAAAATATGGCATATAAAGCTAGACCTGGGACCATAAGTAAGGCAATGTATATAATTTTGATATTGCAATTATTTAATGTTGCTTTTTATCGGCAGTTAACATTCAAATTAAGCTAACTGTTGACTTTTGCCAGAGGGTTTACCAATCTCGTGATGTGAAAACATTTTTTATTAACTCGCAGTCATTCAGGTTTGCTGTTTTATCTGGAGAATATTAAACTAGGAGGACGTTGTAACAACAGAGCTGCTTATTCTTGGTTTTGCTTTTATTAATTCATTGATGTTTGTAACTTCTGACAATCGTTCTCATTCAATTAATACTCCCAAGTTAAAGGTGAAGGCCATAAATCTCCCTTTTATCCTGAAATGTTTAGCACGGAATGATGCATGAAATAGACACTGATTTAAAATGCATTTCGTCCGTTGTAGTGTAACTTAACTTGTTTTCTGTTCACACTGGGCATAGCATATGTTAAGGACAGGCTCTGTGTCTGCACCTTGAAGCTCTATCTCTCTGGTTCTTTTCCCTGAAAAGAGATCACTCGGGACAAACTCTTTAAATAACACTTTATAACTTATATTTATTAAGTAACCATGAGACATGACAACATATTCTGATAGAAATTGTAATCTTAGTTCAGAGAAGTTGCTTTTACAGAAGTTTACAGAATGTGAGCTGTTCACCTCTTAGGAAGCGGCTCCGATTAATAGTTAAAAAGGCATTTTATACATCTCCAGTCTGCCACATCATCTTATTTTACATCACACACGTTAGCAGATGAGTAGACATCCATGGCTGTATACCCAAACAGAGGAGCTGTCTTAATTAGATTAAAACATTAGTTCTGACATGCAACAGGCAGCCAATAACAAGGTGTAATAAACTCGCTCATCTTCAATGATAATTATCCAAACACATAACTATAAGAAATAAAAATGCTTTCTTTTATATTTTCTGTCTATGACTTTATTCATAAATGCGTTTGCTTTTCCCTGCAGTGTGCTGAATCTTTGGCCAGAATTCAAGCTGGTTTGACCAACACAGCTAACAAGAGAGAGAGAGTAAAGATCCTCCACAAGAAGAGTGAGTCTCTTTAGTTTGACTCATCGGTGATTGATTTTACATCGCATTAGATGATTACTCAGGCTTTTAATATTATGTTATTTACCACCACTGAATGAGTATAAAAGATATAAATGTCCTGATTATTTCCTGTCCCATTCTCTAAGTGTTGTTTTTTTTTTTAGTTTTGCCATCAATCCATCCATCCATTCATTGGTTAAAAACAACTGAAACATTTTAAGTTGCTTAAGTCTAAGGGCATACACTCTGCGTTTTTTTTTCAATCGTTGACGCAGCTACAGCTCACACTGTACCACGGAACCGCAGGGTTTCGTGGTACAGTGTGAGTTTACAGCTCATGATGTATGTGTGGCCCAACGCTCTGGTGCGATCTACCTGCTCACACTGTACGACTGAAAACCACGTCGGACTCAGCTCCGCAGTGAGATGGCGCTACTCAGACTCGTCTATCCAGAAGCCAAACCAGTAGAAGAGGAATATGGAGCTCACTAGAGTGAAACACGCTGCCTTGGCAATTTGTGCAATGTTTTGCTGCAAAGACATGGCTGAGCAAACGTGGCTACTGTAATGCCGTCTGTCAATTTTACAGAAAGAACTCCATTTCACTCGCACCCCGGCCATGATTCTGTGTTTTCATCTGAGAGGAAGAAGAAAAAGAAGAGTCTTTGTTTGCACATGCCCACTGTGGGATTTGTCAACAACGGTCGACTGAGTTTCAAACATGTTTGATTTTCTCCCGACCTCACGATTCCTGATCGGGAGGTGGTTGTGAAAGGCTGATCGCCCCTCGTTAGCCCCTCTACACTACATGACGCACGATCAGGCTAAAAGTCGCTTTTACAATTCTCACACGATTGGAAAGTCGCCCAGAACATGGCAAAAAAATCGCAGATTAAACCCAGGTTTAGGCTTTGTATTTATGATTTCTGTCATTAAAGATGCTGCACTTGCATTCTGTAAAGTCTTCTCTCTGATTGTGTTGTGCAGTTGAGGACCTGATGAAGTACCTGGACCCCCAGTTTACTGACCACATCACTCTGCCTGATGCCATGAAACTAGAGTTCATCCTTGCAGGTGTGAGCTACAAGAATATTGTAGAAATAAGACTTTTTGTGTCTCTAATGCTTCATTGATGTGTATTTCACTTCATTTATTGTGTGTCATTGCACAGAGGAAGACTCCTTGCTCTCGGAAGCTGCTTTGTTGGAGCAAGTTAACAGTTTGCAGCCACTGTTGGACAGCACCCACATTAGAGGTTAGAAATGTGCAAATTAAGCTTTATTATTGTATTTTTTTTATTTATCATCTGCCTGCTGAGAACAGAAGTAGACGATAACCTTATCAGTTGTGTTTTAGTTTGATATGTGAATTGTAAGCCTCTCATTCTGATTAGAAGTGCTAATGTTCTCTCCAAAGCCTCTGTCAGCTGTCTTTTTTTCCCCCCGCGTCTACAGATGTACCTGAACATGCGACAAAGCTGCAGCGTCTTTCACAGATCCACATCAAGCAACAGGCAGGTTCTGCTCTGGATCGTACTATCTGCGTTGTTCTTGGCGTAGTTAACAAATGTGTTCTTTTCTTTTCAGGACCAAACTGAAGCTCAGTCGCTGGAAGTTAAGAAGCTTTTTGAGGAATACAACAAAATGGTACCGAACCTTTCAGTAAAAGAAAAAAAAAGACAAAAAAAATAAAATTTTTCAAATTCATTTCATAGTGCACCATTGGAAGGGTGGAAAAGCCAGAATTAGAGCAAATTCATATAAAAATAACCTAGATTGGAAAAGCTGTTTCCCTTTTTTTAAAATGGATTCATGTTAAGGTAGATTGATTTCTCTTTGTTAGATGTTCCTGCTGTCCAAGCAGTTCACCCAGTGGGATGAGACCCTGAGGAAGGCGGAGGAGGCCAAAGGAATCCGACCGGTGGAGTAGTTGCTCTGAACAAAGCCGGACAGATGACGACAGCGATGATGAAGAACCCTGCACTATGAAAGGAGCTCCTGAACAGACATGTTACATTATGTAGCTTATTCCATCCCAGTTATTCAGAAGGAAAATACTCAAAATCAACATCATTTCAACACATTTCTTAGCTTCTTTCTTACCTTTTAGCTCTTAATCGATTTACAGGCCAAGAAACCGTTTTTCCTTTAAAACAGCAACATAGTCATGTTGCCTAAACACAGTTAGTGACTGTTTATTACTTCTAATGCAAAGTTGTGTACTGATAAAATAAAACAACTGGTCTGAGGCTTGTTAGGAATAGTTTAGTCCTTTTATACAGCCCGCAGCGCTAACAACTTTGAATGGCTGCTATTATGCTTTATTGACAGTAGTGCTATTGTAGCTCTTTATTTTAACTTCAACCATTTTCCATCCCTCCAATCCTTTTGTAAAAATCACAGAAACACCTTTTTTTCCCCTTGGATCTCTTAATAAGTAAAACTTTAAATATTGTTTTATTTTAAATGTTGGTGTATAACTTGTCCCAAAGCTTGAAGGTAATCATTAAAGTAATAACTATTACTGTCCTTTTCATTTATGAGTCTGAAACTTGTGACCAAATGAAGACTTGGTTTTCTTCAATGCTGTTGCTTTTTAAGAGTTTTCTTCCAGTGCGAAGTGTCCGGGTCGACATCTTTGAAAGTCTGTAAAAATGGAGCGTAATCAGAAGAATCCTCTCAGTTGTGATGCGAGGGGCATTTGGATTTGTTCCTCAGGTACTCCCGTAAATGCTTCTTGTCAAATTTATCGCTGCCTAACATGAGACCCTCACCAGTCATGTTGAACTGAAAATAGAGGAAAAGCTGTCAGGAACATTTAGGTAATTAGAATATGATTTAGGAGATAAATAGAGCAAAAATGAAAGAAATTATTTAGTGGTTATACAGAGAAGCTACAATTCTTAAGCTTTTTTAAATTTTAATTAAAGCAATATGGAAAAAGAATCTATGGAATTTGTCTACATGTGAATTTTGATTTATAAACATCTTCCTCAACATAATCATGAACGTTAAAATGCTGTGAAAAACCAAAAATAGCTGCTTATAACAATGTAACAATATATTGATGCTACTTTGACAGGACCTTATTTTGTCATAAGCATCACACTCAGTTTACAAAGACCCCAATCTTTACATTGATTGCCACAGAAAACCCAGCAGAACATGCAATTTTTATTTTAATAATCTAAATTAAAAAGTTGCTTAGAAAATAAAATTCAAATTTTAATTAATCAGACAGTTTTATCTAAATTTATCTGAATGAGAAACCTACCACTAGTCAATTACTGATTTAAAGTGTTGGTATTCATGGTAGTTTTTGTAGCATTTCTTGAGGAATTTAATTTCCTTCTTTATATAATGAGTCGATCAAATTCCTTATACGTTAAAAATCTCACGTAACCAACAGATCACTTAAAAATAATGACTTAAAAGAAAAAGACTTGATTGAATTTAGAGGATAAAACATTTTCTCTTTAGCATATGTTGTTAATTGTGGTGAATCGAGTCTAAATTGGCAGTTAGGAGGTATTTTATTAATAAGACAATCTGTTTAAATATTTCTATGAAAGATCTGAGGCGTTATTCTCTTTTTGTATCTCTAAACAATAGCCTGTTCTTGAGTTCAAACTAAATGAGCCACATACCTGCACTGCTACCCTCACTCCATAGCGGACGTAGGTGGCAATGTGCTCACAGTTGTTATGAAGGATGCCATAAATCCTGCAGTTCTGATACGTCTCAATGATGCGTTTAATTATTTCCTTATCATCTCCTTTACCGTAAGTCTCTCCTGTTAGGGGGTCTGTATAGTCATCCAGGTAATTGTTCACTTCTGGCTCCTCGTGCATAAGTAGTTTAGAAAATCTGCACGATTTACCATGATATTTCTCTGTGAACAAATAACAGAAAAGAAAAAAAGCTGTTTATTAATCTAATCTATAATTCCCTATAATGTTCTCGAAACATACTTACTTGCTTGTTCATAGATTTCCTCCCCGGCGTTTTTCCCACAAATATTTACATCTCCAACGTAGACGGCGAAGTGTTTGTATCGAATTCCAACTTTACACCTCGTTTTATAAGAAATTATGTCTCCAAATTGGAACTGTAGGTGGAAGAACATATGTAGCACATTTAGAATAAACAGAAATTGATAAAACTATCTGTAATTAAAACATTTTAGATACCTTTGTAAAGTTAAATAATAATAAGGAACTTACTCTACTCATCTCCAGTGTTGTGATCATCAGCAGAAGGATCACATCCACCAGGGTAGCTTCCTTAGGCTTTAAGCAGTCATGGTCTGAGGTGAACATGTCAGACTGGTGAAATAATTTGTTTTAAATGAAAGTTTTCAAAAAGCCATCTCTGTAATTAAAAAAAATGTTATTATTTAACACAGATTATATTAAAGTGATTGCGATATTTTAGCAGTAAACAGGAGATCAGTCATTATTTCAGGTCTTACCTTCATTTGAAACACTTGGAGTTTACTGAATGGAAGGAAACCACTTCCTTATATACAATTTGGAACAATTCTTCTGAGTAGTCGTGACCGTGTGTGCAGTTCTGTATGTTACGAATCCACAATAGGATATCTCCTATCAGTGTTTATGTTTGCTGCTTGTTATCTAAGCTCTGAACAGACTCTCTCATCCGTACAGTTTCTCTTACCAGCTGTTCTGTCTGTTCACAACCAGCATTCGTCACCTGCAAGATAAGCTTTATTAGAGTAAATTCAGTAAAAGCGAGCACATGGCATGTATCTGTCACTCTTTGTTTCGTTTAGGTAGAATGAAACGTAACATAATTAATTTTTTTTGTGATATTACAGATCAGGCATTATTGTGTCTGCTGACAAAGGGAAACTAAAACTTAGAGATTCATTAAAGTCCTTTAAGGTTAGTGAAGCATCAAGGTTGCTTTGATCCTCTTTCCTCTAAGTACAGTTGAATTTACAATAATCTGACTTGACTCAGTTAAAATCATCAATTAAGACAAAAATAAAAAAACTAATCATGTTTAGGGAATTTAATTTTCTCCTTCTAGGCAAGGCAAGGCAAATTTATTTGTATAGCACAATTCAGTACAAAGACAATGCAAAGTGCTTTACATGATTAAAATACAGGAAGATAAAACAGAATCAAAGCAAGTAGGGAAAAAAATAAAAAATGCAGAAACAAAAAAGAATATTAAAAACAGTTGGACTAAAAAATAAATGTTTTAGTTTAACTTTTTAACTAGAACAGTCGAAAGCAGTCCTAAACAAATGTGTTTTTAGTCTTGATTTAAATTAACTCAGGCTTTCTGCACTTTTACAGTTTTCTGGAAGTTTGTTCCAGATAAGTGGAGCATAGGAACTAAATGCTGCTTCTACATGTTTAGTTCTGGTTCTAGGTACGCAGAGCAGGCTGGAGTCAGAAGTCCTGAGTGGTCTGGAGGGTTGATACACTGATAGCAAGTCTGTGATGTATTTAGGGGCTAAGCCATGCAGGGATTCATAAACCAACAGAAGTATTTTAAAGTCTATTCTCTGAGATACAGGGAGCCAGTGTAAGGACTTTATAACTGGGGTGACTACAGACTAAAGTAATGAGTTATGCACAGTTATTGTTTGGAAACAATATTTTAATAGACATATCAATCAAAAATCTATCCATGTTCCATCACGCTTGCTGGTGCCTAGAGGCAGGGTACAACCTGGACAGGTCGCCAGTCCATCGCAGGGCAACACAGAGACAAACAACCATTCACGCACACACTCACACCTAAGGAGTCAATCAAAAATATTTTTAATGAAAAAATAAATATGTTATTATGCAACTTTGCATAATTTACTATGAAAAAGAAATAATAAACCTTCAAAGCTTTATCAAAAATGTTCATTACACACCCTGCTTGAATGGTGTTCAGAGCTCATTTCTATGAAGCTTTATTACACCTCATTTATGCATGCTGTGACTGTAAATATAAATCATGTCAATTTTCACAGCTATCTGCTCCAGCTGCTTGTAGATAGTGCCTGTTAAATATATTAACTCTTGTTTTGTCAAGTTAGAACTAAATTAGTAAGTTATGATTTATCTTTCTGCAAGAGACACGAAGAAGTGCATGAGAGGAAAGAAAGGGACATATGGTTTTTAAAACCTCATCTTTAATGCATCTTAATCCATCCTCCTCCTTGTAATAGCTATGTATTTTAATCTCAGATACATTACATTGACATTTGTATAAAGTAAAATGTGTGAACAAATAGCTTCTAAAGTTTTTGATTTTTTTCATGTAATTTATTTTTAAAACCAAGAACAGTTTTCCTAAATTAAGATTTCTTTATGCAATTTCATAAAATGTCGAAAAATTATAGATTACTGAATGAAATTTTCTATGAAGCACTGTGCATCCTGATGCTGTAGTTCTATAGAACTGGTTTTGCTTCGTTCAGTTTTTCAACCATTTTGTCACATTTATGTTCCGTGCTTTAAAATTTCTTTTTTGAAAGTCATTATGTGAAATTTAAGGTAAAAATGTGATAAGTACTATGAAACAAAACCAAAGAGCTTGAGTTAATGTACAAACATCATTCACTGGTTTCAAATATACGTTTTTCTTCCAAGAAAGCTCTCAAGAATCTTACCTTTAGTAAATTGCAGATACCTGTTGAGGAAGGAAGAAAGCTTAAATACACCCAAGCAGTCCTTCCACTGTTTCCCAGCCTGTAAAATGAGATGAACTAGTTAGCTTTTTAATTGGAAAATCAACTCTAAGTTCGAGAAGGGTTAGTGTCCAGATGTTTTTTTTTTTAGGTTCCTTATTCTATTTTGTAAATATTACTTTATTTCTGTTGCTATGTGGAGGTCATCCTCATTTCTGCTGCTGTACTGTAAGACTTTTCTTGTACACATAAAAATGGTTCTATCCCTTTTAGAGCCACGGTCAAACTTTATATGTATATTTGCATATATTTTTCCATACTTATCTGCTGGAGACAGATAATTGTAGGTGTGAGCTTGTTTTAAACTGCTTGTAAAAGCTTTTTATATACGTTAACTAATGACCTATAAAACTGAATTTAATGTTCTGGGTTTGTTTTAGATAAACAATCTCTCTTTTTTTAAATCTAAGTGTATTAAAATCTGATAGTTTAGATTTGGTTCTTTAATTTCAAGCTATTTAGTCATAATCTGTAGATGTCTTGATTTCTATTTTTTAAGTGTGATGTTTCTCATTTTTAACTGTTGCTTAATCTATTTGATTCCTTATATTTAGTGTTTTAGTGTTTTGTGGGGGTCGTTAAAGGGAAATACATGAGGTAATATGTTGCCCTGTAAAGGGGTTTGGGTTGCGATGATAACGACCCCCCTTTCAAAGACATAGCAGGTATGGGGCATTGCAGGCGAACAAAGAAGCCAAACTACCCCCATTTCAAAGGGGTGGACCCGTTCGTCCGTTTCAATTTGTATGTTTTCTAAGCAAAAACAAGTCTTTGTTGGGCTACTGTATAAAGCCTCCACGTTGTTTCTGACATTTTGAATTGAAAAAGCTTCCTGGATGGAAGTCCAGTTCACCAGAATCCAGGACTAGATTGCGGGGGACAGCGGCCTCAGCAGAGACTCCCAGACTTCCCTCTCTGCAGACATCTCCTCAAGGCTAGGCTTAAAACTTTCCTTTTTGATAAAGCTAATAGTTAGAGTGGCTCAGGTTATCCTGAGCTATCTCTGTAGTTATGCTGCTATAGGCTTAGGCTTCTGGAGGACATAGGGACACCTATTTTATCCTTCTGCTTCATTCTCTCTCTATTTTCCCACTTTGCAGAATCTGTTAGTTTAATCACTAACTTTATGCTCTCTCTGCTTTTTCTCAAAGTACCTTCGCCTGATCTATTCCTGTTTTGCTGTGACTCCATCCTGGAGAGAAATATGAGCTGTGCTGCTGCCATCAACACCTTTGTTTATAGATGTTGGCGATCTGCCTGTTTTTCCAGTGTCGTCCTGTTTCTCTGACTGTGACTGGCTGGATGTGCTCTCTTCATCCTCTGACATGGGAGTTGGCTCAGAGCTCTTCTGCCTGGCTGTGTGTTTTCGGGATGGGGCCGCGTTTTATAGCTGCTTTTTATATCTCTGCTTGAACCCCAGTCGGCCTTGGCAGATGGCCGCTCACACTGAGCCTGGTTCTGCTGGAGGTTTCTTCCTGTTAAAAGGGAGTTTTTCCTCTCCACTGTCGCTACAAGCATGCTTAGTGAGGGGATTTTTCATAAATGCATTATGTGTTTTAGCAGTGTAAATTAACATTTTACTGCTTCTTGCTTTTTGTGATGCTTGTATTTGATGGACTTTATTGAATTATGTGACCCCTGAAACATGTTGGATGTGGTTTGCTGTTAGTAGTGAGCTATATCCAAACATGTTAATGGATAGTTGTGTGGAAGGAAAAAAGCTATGTGGACCCCAGCACCTTGTTCTTCAAAAACATTTCCTGTGTGATTGAACATTTATGGAGTACTCTCAAGAAGAAGGTGAGAGATGCCAGAATTAACATACCAAATGCCTTAAGGTTGCTTTTGAAGCCACCTGGGTTTACCTAACAGCGTAGCATCCAACAGGTTAATTTATGCTACACCACAATAATAAAGAAATTCTTGCTTAAATAGATCTATTAAATATTAAGTTTATACCCTGAACATTCTTTCCTATATATTCAATGCAATTTAGAGTGTCGGGTAGCTTAGTGCTCAAACTTTACATGAATCTTACTTTTTCAGTTGAGTAGTAATATAAGTTTTTTAATCATTAATTTAACTACAGTAATTGCTGTGGTTAAAAAAAAGACGATTTTAAAGCAGCTGTCCGATAGTCGGACTACATTTTATTTTGCATCCCTTAAATAGGGTAGGAGGGCCACTTCTATTGAACTAGCTGGTGAGAAAGGCCACTTCTGTCCTGCGTTGCGCTCTGGACTCGGTGGAGGATGTAGCCGAGAGGAGGGTGTTGTCCAAGCTTACATCATGGACAGCACCTTTTACCGTCTGCACCAGACTGTGGAGGAGATGAGCAGCTCATTTAATAACAGACTTATATACCTCGTGTGTAAAAAGGAGCGCTACCACAGGTCATTCATCCCCGCTGCCATCAGACTTTACAATGCCACTGCACTATAATCTAATAATAATAATAATAATACATTTTATTTAACAGCGCCTTTCTTGACACTCAAGGTCACTTTACAAATAATACAAAAAATAAATAAAAAGAGATGAAAATACAAAATACAGATACAGGAACATAAAAAACAAAAAAAAACAAAAAAACAATCATGGATAGGGAAAAGAGCAGTATATTCACAGATAAGCGAGCTGGAACAGATGGGTTTTGAGTCTGGCTTTGAATAAGGGGAGAGAGTCAATACTGCGGAGGTCGGGAGGAAGTGAGTTCCAGAGCTGGGGAGCAGAGCGGCTGAAGGCTCTGCTCCCCATGGTGACAAGTCGAGCTGGGGGTACAGTGAGGTGGATGGAGGAGGAGGATCTAAGGGAGCGGGAGGTGGTGGCAATGTGAAGGAGGTCTGACAGATATGAAGGAGCAAGGTTATGGATGGCTTTGAAAGTATAGAGAAGGATTTTGAATTGAATTCTGAATTGAACTGGGAGCCAATGGAGTTGGTAAAGAACAGGGGAAATATGATGGAAGGAGGGGGTTCTGGTGATGACACGAGCAGCTGAGTTCTGAAGAAGTTGAAGTTTATGGAGAGATTTATGAGGGAGGCCAAAAAGAAGAGAATTGCAATAAACAATACGAATCAATACAATCTAGTATAATAACACTGCAATAACTTATACTATTCATCTATTTAACAATCCAGAAAGTGCACTTTACCTGCCACCACTTTACTGTAAGTAAGATACTGTATATATATAAGTCACCTTAAATGTCTTCTTTATTTTTACCATCCACTCTTTGGATACACTGTATATACTTCATGTACCTTTTCCTTCTTTGTGCAACTCCTGTTTTTTTAAATAAAAGTGTTTATAAGAGTTTTCAGTCTAGTCCTGTTTCTCTGTGACTGGCTGGATGTGCTCTCTTCGTCCTCTGACGTGGGAGCTGGCTCGAAGCTCGTATGCCTGGCTGTGTGTTTCCCGAACGGGGCTGCCAGTGGAGCTGGTTGACTAGTTTCTTTGTTTATCTGCTTCGTTCTGGATGTCTGCTTCTGTCTCCTTGAACCCCAGTCGGCCTCGGCAGATGGCCACTCACACTGAGTCTGGTTCTGCTGGAGGTTTCTTCCTGTTACAAGGGAGTTTTTTCTCTCCACTGTCGCTAAAAGCATGTTTGGTGTGAGGGATTGCCTTGGAGTCAATGCAATCAACTGGTTTTCCTTAGATAGAAAACTTTGAATCAATTTTACTGTAGAGATCTGATTGAATTGTCTCTGTAAAGTGGCTTGAGATGACATGTGTGGTGAATTGACGCTATATAAATAAAATTAATTTAATTGAATAGCTAATGTCACAACTGAATTTCTCCATTGTGAGATTAACTAAGTTCTATTGTATTCAATTCTATTTTTCTATTTATTTTCTTAGCTCTGATTTCTGACTGATGATGAGAACAAATATGTTAATTTAAAATACTGTAAATAACAAAAATGTCTGTACTGCTGGCTGGTACCACAATGGCACTTCAATGTAAAATAGATTTTGCATACTGAATTTTGTTATCAACTGCACACCTTTATGGACAATAAAACAACAGAAATTGCTTTGCATATTTATTTGACATGACATTGAGAGAACATAAACAAAATGTTAAGACACTTTAATCAGAGCGTAATTGTTTTTTCAAGTGTCTGACCAAAGCTCTCTTATTGATCGCTGGGTTGTTCAAACAGAATCTTTCACCAGTCCGGTTAAACTGTAAAAAAAAACAAAAAAAACAAAAACATTGCACAAAGTCGTTAGAGGCAATACATAAAAGGAAAAACAAAAAGTTTTTATTCACATAAAAGCTAAGAGTAACCAAAGAACAAAGAAGAAAAAGAGTATATGCATTAAACATTAAAATAAGTGACGGATTTAGACTTTTTTCCCCTTTGTTTCTATTTTCGTTTAGTGTTTAAAACCTGCAGCTGTGCAGTATGACCTTCACCAGGACTAGCTGTTTTAATCACAGGCTGCAGCCCTACGTAGGAGATTTGAGGTCAACAGAGCTCCATGATTCGCTTCACTGTTGATGTTTTTAAGAGAGTAAACCATCTTCAACAGTTTTATAAAAAAAAATTTTTTCACAAACCTTTAATGAGACACTTACCTGCACTGCTATCCCATATCCATAACGGATATACGTAGCAAGGTGCTCACAGTTGTTGGACAATAACCTATATCTTTTGCACTTATGGCTTGTTTCTAAGATCCGTTGCCTAATTTCTTCATCAGTTCCTCTTTGAAATGTTACTTTTGTGATAGGGTCTGTGTAACCGTCCAGGTAATTGTCCACTTTTGGATCTTCATCGTAATTTAGCTCAGAAAAAAGACATTTTGGAGAAATACAATTCTTCACTGTAAAAAAGAAGAGAAATAAGACAAAATCAAGGATTGCGACACAAAATAGTTTTCAGTATACTTTAGTGTTATAACTATGTAAGCTGAATATTTGTTGTTCTGTTTTTCTGTCAGTCTCTCTTATTTCACCTTTAAGCTTGTTTTTTGTTATATGTATAAATACCAAGTTAGAGGCAGGAAGAATCTATTAGTTTCTTCCTATTTTTATATTAATACTTTCTGTCCGAGCATGTCCTCTTGATTATAGTATTCTATCATGATAATTTCTTGCACCTTCATGCATTTTTATTCCTGTTATGCTACATATGCCTGCCTTTAAGCTTTATTTCCCAACTTTAAGGTGTATATACCGTGACAGTCTTGTGTGTGAATGATGCAACAACTTTAAAGACAACTTTTAAAGTGATTGTAGTGATTTGATACGTCTCACAAAATTATAGTGCTCTAGCTTTTTTTTCTTATTTTAATTTAGATTTGTTGTGTATTGTACTTACCATGCCCAAAAATGTCCTGAGTCTTAGTTTTGGGAAGTCCATGCTTTATTCCTTTCCCCACATAAACAGCAAAATGCTTGTACTTGACAAAATTAACGCTCCTTTCAAATGAAATGATATCTCCAAATTTAAACTGTGAATGGAAGAATAGAAAACATATAAACCAACTTTAAGTAACAGTCTGATCAAACTGCTGTAAAATTCACGCAAAAACACAAGTTAAAAATGAAGGTCAAATAAATTTGCCAGCATCTTACTCCATTGGTTTCCAGAAATGTGACGGCCAAAAAGAGGATTACAGCTGTCGGGATCAGGCTCCTCATTATACCAGAAAATGAATGACTGAAAATCAACAATACAAACAAATTTATATATATTAAAAATACAAATAAGAGAAGTAAAGTCACAAATCTAGATCTAGTTTTAAGAAGGAATAAAGGCAGGAGTGTAGATTTGCTTAAAAAAAAAAAAGGCAAATCCAGAAAACTGCACAAAAAATCCTATTTAGTCTCCTATTATTTTTTAACTTCATTGCTATTTTCAGCATTTGTTGATTTTTTTTAAAGCAATATTCTAAGCTTAACAGGTTTCAACACTTTCTATAAGATATTAAGCTATTTGATAGCTTTGTTAACAACCTATAGTTAGTAATGAGGTATACAGATGTGTAATTAAAGAGTTACACTGTACTCACCTCCCTTGCTGAATGACAGAATGAAATGCTGAAGAAGTTTGGGACATGGCTTTATATACCAAACAGTAGACACTAGACAGATAAGTCAGCAGTCTGACTAAGACAATATCAAACAAAAGATATATTTAGAACACTTTGTTTTTATGTTTTGTCTTTTCCATAGTTTCTAGGTAGGGCTCACAGTTTTAGTTTTGTTTATTTATGTTTTGTTTTATGAGATACTGTCTTGTCCCATGATAACTTCTAAATTACAATGCAGAATTTATTTTTTTGGATAGGACGGAATGTAATCTACATCGCTTGCTCCTTCTAATAAGTTGAGGAAACTATTATTTTATTGTATGATTTATTTAGTTTTCTTCACAAATTCATTTGAGATACTGTTTGTATTATTATTTTATGTTTTTTGTATAATTATTCCCAGAAAACCGTGCTATGTTTTTTAAATTTATTCAACTTGTCATGCTTCAGAGTAACAGTTCTTCGTCTGCATAGACGATCTTTGGTTCCGCGTGCGCACCAGTAGGAAGAAGGCCGTTGACAGGGGAAGGACAGCGGGCTGGTGAGCGGCAGCACAGCGGACCGACATGGACCGGACGGCTGTGGTGAAGGTCGGAGCCGCAGCCAGCGCCAGCGTCTGTGTGGTGTTCGGCGGCGTCGCGCTGGCACAGTACATCGTAGCTAAGAAAAAGCGGGCGGGGAAGAAAACGAAGATCATAGAGATGGTGAGTTAAAGTACGCTAACTGCGTTTATGTTAAGAAACAGGAAACGGATTGTGAGGCCTTCAAAATAAAATTACCTTACATTTTGATTGGAATATTATGCAGGCATATGTTGAAACTTAATATAAGATTATGACCGGAAATTAAACACGATATTGTTTTTATCTTTATTCCATTAAACTTGGTGAGTGCACTGCGCATGCGCGCCGGGTACCCCTAAAACTAGCGGCTCTTTAGAGGTCACTACCAGCCACTTCTCACTGCTGAAGGGGCTGCAGCTTTCTGTTTATGGCTGCTAAGCTGTGACAGCCCAGCTGTTGGTCAGTAATACTTTCACTGCTCTGAAAAGTGCTTTGTGTGGCCATGGTCGATCGAATGGGCTCGGTTCAGGTTATGCAAACCCCATCCAACACTAAAACTGCAGAGAAGTCCTTCACATACTTCCAAAGTATGTCATTTGCCAATGTATAAGAGCAATAATAGAAATTTCCCAGCATTTAAACTGAAAGAAACAAACAAACACAAAAAGCAGTCTTGATTAGCATTAATTTCGTGGCACTGGCCTCCAGTTAGAGCAGATTTAAAAACCTATAAAGTGAGGAAGATATGAGAGTTTTTAGAGCAAAGTTTCACACAGCCTTAAAGGAATAGTACACCCAAAACATGATAAGCCTTCATTTTCTACTCACCCCCATGCTGAACAACACTCTGGAGTACTTTTTTGATATCTCAAATGCATCTGGAGATCTGGGAGGCTTCTTGCTGTCTGCTGACATTCAAATAATGGAGGTCTATGGCGCCCGAGGCAGAAAGGTCCATAAAAGTCCACAAAAAACGTGTCAATATTCCTCCATACTGCTCGTCCAATGTATTCCAAGTGTCCTGAGTGGGTAGCATCCAGAATTTACTCGAAACGAAGTCATTTAGAATGTTTTTAGAGCATAAACAGTAGTGTATAGGATTTCCTGAAAGCGCGCACATGCGCGATCCCGACGCTACGGAAGCCGGCAGACCAAACCAGATGAAAGTGCGCATTCAGCTCGGCAAAGAACTCATGCTCTTCCTCAACACTGAAGTCCTCAGACATTTTTCTTTCGTTGTTTCTTTCTTTGCACAGGTAAACGGCACATTTCTTCTTCTACACTTGCATTATTGGCAGAGCAGACGCTGAATGCGCACTTTCATCTGGTTTGGTCTGCCGGCTTCCGTAGCGTCGTGAACGCGCATGTGCGCGCTTTCAGGAAATCCTATACACTACTGTTTATGCTCTAAAAACATTCTAAATGACTTCGTTTCGAGTAAATTCTGGATGCTACCCACTCAGGACACTTGGAATACATTGGACGAGCAGTATGGAGGAATATTGACACGTTTTTTGTGGACTTTTATGGACCTTTCTGTCTCGGTCACCATAGACCTCCATTAATTGAATGTCAGCAGACAGCAAGAAGCCTCCCAGATCTCCAGATGCATTTGAGATATCAAAAAAGTACTCCAGAGTGTTGTTCAGCATGGGGGTGAGTAGAAAATGAAGGCTAATCATGTTTTGGGTGTACTATTCCTTTAAGTAGAAGTATAGATACTGCAGTTAAAAACCACTGGTAAAAGTTGAAGTATCAACTTGACCTCTTTACTCAAGTAAAAGTGGAAAAGTATGTACTCCAAAAACTAATTAAAGTATTAAGTAACCTTTAAAAAACAGCCAGATGCCACTATATGAATTTTAAAGCTCAATTTTTCGACTATTTCGAAGATTTCTTTGAGATAGGGCCAAGGATGAGGGAGGTCTTGTTGGTCTCCGTCTCCCGATACGCTCTCGCCTGTGTCCGACCTTTCAGACATTTCAGCATCTTTTTCTGAATCCGACATTGTAGCATGGCATAGACAATTCACGTTTGCAGTTGATTGATGATGATGATTTCCTTTAGCTAACCAATGAGTGTTCGCGTTATATGACTCCTCAATTACACTAGTTTTCACTAGATGTGGATGGCGCCAATGATCTGCATTGGATGGCGAAAAATGATGTGAAATAAATATTTATAAACATTAAACCAAAGTGAACGTTTGTTTTAAGAATGTAAGGAATAGAAAGTACAGATACTTGTATGAAAATGTAATGAGTAGAAGTCAGAAGTAGGAAGAAAAATAAGTAATTGAGCAAAGTATAGATACCTAAAAGTGTACTTAAGTACAGTAACAAAGTATTTGTACTTATTTACTTGAAATCTCTGTGTGCGTCTGTTTGTGGGCAGGGACCTCCATTACAAAGCAAGATGTCAGGGTTTTGTTAGTGAGATCTAACTTAATTAAATCTGAGCAACAAAGACTGTGCTTATTTGGTAGCATGAAAGAGGTCTTAATCATGTTAAGTCTGTCCAGGCTTACAAACTCTGGACGTGTACGTTCATGTAAAACAGGAAAGGGACAGAACGCTCGCCCCAAAACAGAAATTTGTACACAAGATGTGCAAATTACGATTAGGATATGAATATCTAACTCTTCATGGAACAAACCTCACTCTTTTAATTCTCTTTTGCACATACAGTAAGTTAAAGACGAAGATGTTCTCTGCACTCAGACACAGTTGATAAACAATGAAGATGTATTGTAGGAGGAAACCGTTTTGATTAAATATAATCAGGAATTAACAAGGAGAAAACATCAGGGACGTTTCTCTGACTCAACATGCTGTTTTTGCAGTTTGATTTCTTTCATATTTTTTTTCCATGACATTGATTGGTTGAGAAGTTCATGTTCTTGATTTCTGATATGATTTCCTGGTTAAACGAACAGCGTTTTGATACAGAAAATCTCAAGCTGAACCTGAAGCTACCTTGATAAGCCAATAATCCTACATTGATCCCAGGTTTTGACCTCCGGACGTTAATGATAATCTCCTTTGTACTGCATTTGTTGTACAGTAGGTCTTTGCCTCTCCAATGCTCTTGTACATTCTCCTTTTACAATGATTAATATGAAAAATAGAACTGACAATAACATTTTCTAAGGTATTTTTTTTAAATTATGTGTTCTTAAAGTCAATATTCTTTACTTTTAGAAATAGAAAAAAAGTTGTCTTTCAGCTATGAAGTTATTTAGCAACCTTGAAAACCAAAGATGGATGATCAGAGGAATCAATTAACAGAAAATAAATGATGCAGAATCAAGACTAGTGAGGATGGATTGATGGATACCTCAACACAAGATGAACGTGTTTCAGTTAATGCTTAAACCAGGACTTAGGGTATGAGTTCATGCTTGCTTTTGTATAATTATAAATCAAATAAAACCAGATTTGGATGAAGAAACAGGACAAGTAGGATCAAAAGACAAATGTTAAGATCTTCAGAAGGTTTTTACGTCTTCTATCTAGCAGACAGCGTGTGCAAACCTTTTTTGTATGTGTGTGACTTCATCAATATCCAGATAATATGCTAACAACCAAATCGTGCAAATTCATGGACGGAGGATAAGCAAATGTAAAAACCTATCATGCACAAAGTCTTTTTTCAATTCTGAAACTTCTGAGGCAGCAGTTTTTGCAACTTGTTTAACACTTCTAGAGGTCAGGTGCAAATCCACAAAGGAGGCATTAATACAATGAGAGTCAATGGAGAGAGAGTCACTGCATGTAAACTTATTTGGAGCATCAGAAATAACTAAATAATGAAGAAAAACTGGCTATGCAGTTGGACACAGGTTAATGGAGCATGACGGCAAACAATATTTTATGAATTAACGCAAAACATAAAAAAAATGACTGAAATGATCTTAAATATTGTGGCATGCCTATTTAAAAATATATAAAGCGTCAGCAGAGCCTGTAAAAAGAAAAGGGTGGTTTGCAAGTAGAGCCAGACCGATATGGGATTTTGAAGGCCGATACCATTATCAGTATTTGGGTCTATAAAAACACAATATCCAATATTGGCCAATATTCGACATAGATCAGCTAAAATATAAAAGGAAAAAAAAACTGAACATGTACATACACAGGATATGCACTGTCCAACTGTAGTCAAACTCAAATCCTCATAATAATAAAAAATATAATTCAACACAAAGAAGCATAACATAGAATTGTAGAACTAAAATAAGCCACTTTAATTTTGTCAGTGTTAACATAAGACTATGAATACAATAAATGTTTGTTGTGCTGATTTAGATATTGCCTCAAATTTGTGGTACTTTTGCTTCACTGGTGCTGGAGTCCTGACTAACTTTAACACCACAGATGCTGCATCCAGCAGCTGTTACATCCTTCCCACACCTGACTGTTCCACTCTGCCTTTGAAATTAATATATATAC